TCTCACGCTTCAGCTCTGCGTGTCCAGGAAGAGCCATCGTCTTCCAGGGCTTACTGGATGATGTCAGCGCATCGGGATAATGTCTCTTTTTAAAGTCAGCTCTGCCAAGTCACACAGCCTGTCCCAGGAGTGACTGTCTCATTCACACATCCCAGGGGTTGTACAGGGAGGATTCCTTAGGGGCAGGAATCTTGGGAGACAGCTCAGAATTCTGCCTACCATAGCACAACCTTAGCGAGGCACATACTCTCACTTGTTCCCTCCAGCTGGCAGCAAGCAGATTTTTCCAAGTGGGCAGAGCCCTCAGCTATGCTGAGGCTGGGTGGGCCCAGCACCAAGGCCTGTGTGGCTCGGCCCCCAAAATCTTATGATTGCACAATGCAAAGCCAGCTGGGTCTTTTCTTTGCCTTGGGACCTCCAAGAGCGCTTATGTAACCAGGAGCCACCAAGATGGTCCAATTCCTAGGACCCTTCTGGCTGTACCCAAAAGACAGAACTTCCTGCTGTCACCCATATGATGTCAGGGTCATCATCCTTCCAAGGAGGAATGCCCCATTGCACAGAGTTGAAAGGTGCTCTTGAACCAGGAAATTGGGACGGCAGGTTCTGTAACCCGACACCCACTGCTCCCAGCATGCTGTTCAGTGAATCTCAATCAGGGGAAACTCACAATCAGCTGGCTGGACTTCTCAAGGGGTTGAGAAGGTAGTAGACTACCTTGGGTCAATCCTGTGGGTGTTTGTGATTTTACAAACATCAGAAGCCGTCTGCCATGAGCCTCCTAGCCTAAGGTCACCTCAGGTTTGCTGTTCCCCTGCCCGTGTCCTCATGCCACTGCTGTTCACTAAGAGGGGGGTTTGCTCAGGAAGCTGTCTGCTTCTGCCTTTGCCCCCGGCAGGCAAATGTGTGAAGCTGCAGGTCACCTACAGCTCTGCTCCGAATTCTCTTTGCTTGTGTGTGGTTGGCCCAGTTCCCATCCTGGTCTTATCCTCCACCACGGGATTTGAAGGGATAGCTCAAGGCTGAACCAGGAAGCAAGTCATGTCAGAGTACCCGCTGACCAGGCTTAACCTGCGCTGCCCTCCAAGCTCTCAGGGTGGGGTCGGGGATGGGAGGGGAACGGGATAGGATGAGGAGCTAAGCGTAAGGGCTGTCACTTCCCCACACCTGCCTAAGCTGGCTCCAGAGTAACAGCCTACTCCACTGGAATGACAGCTACTCACTGCCTGTCCCTAGAGTCTGTCACAGAGACGGTGCCAGCATTGCCTGTCTTTGTTACCCAGCTCAGCACCAACCTGAAGTCTTCTTATAGAGCCCGAAACTTGATCGTGGGCATTGCTCTTAGGTTGACAGGTGAGGAAATAGAAACATGGTGTGTGTTTATGTGTCCGCAGACTGGAATCCGTAGGAGAGAATGTGTACTCACCCATGCCCACCTTGGGGCAGATACATTACGCCTATAGCAATCGAGACCCCCAATACTGTAGGTCACTTTCAATCACAGAACTGTGTGAAGGATTGAGGCCACACCATGACCTAGCAGTATAAAGTGATCACGTGTGCTGTGCTCATGGGAGCAGGGTGTGGCCACGCTTCAGTGTTTGTGGCAACTCCTCCCCAGTTGTGTAATGCTGCTGACACATTTGAAAAGATGTGCAAAGATACACATACACTTCAGCAAACTGGGTCTTTCTGTTATATGTATGCTAGAAACAGGGCCTTTCCGCTTTCAAACCAATGGAAAAGCAGGGTCTTCATGGCTAGAATCCGGACATCTGACCATTCACACAGGATTCGGTTAGTCAAAATGCTCCTCTGCCAGCTCTTCTTAGACACGAAACGTGGACTAGAGCCATGGTGGTCCATGACGTGGCGTCTTACTAATCAGAACTCCAGGACCCCAGTGTTTTCCGAGTGGTCCTGACAGTGCTTTGCAGTGACGCACAAATCAAAAGCAAGTGGGATGGTGGGTACAGAGCGTGTTGGTGGACATAAAACCACAGCACAGAACTGAAGAGGGAGACTCTTGTGTGAGCCCAGTCGCCTGGAAGGCTGCCTCCTGGCAGGGAGCCTGAGACACGGAATGCAGTCCATATAGTGTCCTCCCACTCTCCACCAAACGCTTGGACTGCCTGACCCCATTGGGGCATTAGTTCTGTTTGTTCATGCCGCTGTTTCTGTCTTTACTTCTGATTCTTCATACCTTGTCAGTCAGTAAGAGGAAAGAGCAAGCAAGATCTGTGCAGAAGCATCAGTTAACTCCGAATGTCAAATGCACTCAGTATACTCGGTCCATAAAAGATTGTGTTCTCTGAAATTATCTTGATGGTTTTAATTCATTCACATGACATCTGTAGCTTGCTGCTGTGCGCTCAGCTCTGTTCCAGGCACTTGAGACACACACACCTTTGAAGCAGAGGACCAGCAACCAACTCCTGACTTCAAGGGATTCAAGAAGTTATGCCTTTCCCTCTACTGTTAAATAAAACTAATGAAACCAGCCCTGGATTACACCGCAGGACTCGTTTTAGGGACCTTCGAGGTTATCTTTTCTTTGGTGGGATGTGATGTCCTGTTTTCTGCAAGGACTCTAGTGGAGGTTGCTGTGTTGCATTAGAAAGATGGTTTGGAATGAAAGCTCTTGATTTTAGGTTTTCTCCAGGATAATGCCAGTAACATTGGAGCCAGGGAATTGCTTGTTGCCCAAGGCTGTTCTGTGCATTGTAGGATGTTTGGCAGCAACCCTGGCATAACCCCAGATGTACAAGTGCCCGTTTCCCTGAGTGTCAGCAACTGAAGGCATCTCCAGACATTGCCTGCCGTGTCTCTTGGTGGATGGGGTGGTAGATGTGAATGTGACCCTGGGAGTCTAGGCTCACGTCCTCTGCTTAAGCAAGTCAGTGGAACCCCGAAGAAAAACAGCACTTGGAGCAAGTATTTTCTGTCTGGCCCTTGCCGACTCTCAGAGCAGCTTTCTACCATGGAAGAGTTAATATAGAGTGAGCAAGATATTTATCAGTCAGATGGAGCAACAGCAGCAGTGGTGATGAAATGCCCTCGGTAATGCCTTGGAGATAGTTCACATTTCCTGTTGGAAACTTGTTAAAATCACTCACTGACCGTAAGTTAGAGAGCGTCTTGGACACAGTATGCTATAAATTAATCTCGAATGATTTATGAGGAAATAGGCTCCAGATTTGGTGATCTCAACTCAAGTAGTGGGCGGCTGCCTGATAAACATTCCTCTTCTCAAGAACTCTAGTCAGCTTACCAAGTATTTGCTCAAGTGTAGAATGGGAGAGCTTTGGAATGTCTAATGCTCTTCCGAGCTCTGGTCTAGGAGAATTCAGTGCATGGGAACGAACTGCCACTGGGAATCTCCTCACCCCGTGACAGCTCCCACATTGGTATGAATTGTCCTTCGTGGTCTCGGGTTTCTTCCTGCCCTCCCCAGTGAGGATGTGTCATTCATTAGACATGATGTCACGTGTTTCTTATTGACTCTTTGGTCCCCAAAGCTACTTCCGAGTTTTGGCAGGGACACCCGCTGCAGGTTCTGCCTGCCTCCTGTTGACTTACAGTCCAAAGTGGTGACATTTGCTACCTTCCCTTATATTTCTGAGTTATCCTCACTTCTCACATACATACTAGGATGTTAGAAAATTCAGGACAGGGGCTGGGTGTGTGGTGGTGGCACATGCCTTTAAGACCAGCACTCAGGAGGTAGATCTCGGTGAGTTCCAGGCCAGCCTGGTGTACACAGTGAATTCCAAGACAGACAGAGCTACATAGTGAGACCCTGCCTCAAGAAAAAAAAAAGGAAGGAAAGAAAAAACAGGACACTCTGCTGATGAATGTCACTGGGAGGAGGTTGGTTTCATACAGAGAGAACACAAAGCACAGGGTTTTCACTCACTCACTTGTTACAGCAGCTACTGTGTTCTGGGCGTTGGTAATGTATCTGTGAGAAAATGGACTTCAGTCCACAGGGCAGTGGGACAAGTGGACAGGCCATCTTCTAATGTGGCACAATGGGTCCCAAGCTGAGGGACAGTGTAGAAGCCAGTGGACCATTAAGAAAGGTTCTGCAGCTTGTGGAAAGGGGGGTCTGAAAAGGTGTCTCAAAAGAAGGGCTGACTCACCTGGACAGGTCCAGGAGGAAGGGCAGGTGTGATCACGGCCACATCCCCAAGCAGGAAGGTAAGAGCTGAAGCAGGAAGACTGAGGTAAAGTGCAGGAGCCATGAGGATGCTCTCAGGATCCCACAGGAGCACCAGGGTCTGTGGAGGTCTACCCAGATGAGGAGGAGCCCTGGGGAGGCAGGTGTGAGGAGGGTGGAGAGACAGCCGCTCAGTTTTTTCATCCACCACTACCTGCGGAACATAGCAATGCTCTTCTTAAATGATTTTAAGAACGTCAAACACTTCATAGAAATTTGAAATGCTAATGAGCAGCTTTAAATGCTTGTTTCCAGAGGCTATCATGACAGCCTCTTTAGTTCTGCCCAGTTTTCTTTTCACTGGTAACTACTTCTTAGTTTTCATACTGATCGTCACTTGTGACTAAAGAGTAAGTCCCACGAGTGGGGTCGTCTGGTAAATAGGCTGTGTCTGGCACCTCCTCAGATTGATAGCCTCTGCTGTATTGAAAGGTGTTGCTTTGGTGTTGGGAAACGCACTTTGTTGCCCACACATTATTTTTGAGGTGACTGTAGAGCAGCATAAGGAGCTGGTGGGCCGCCTGTAGGCAGGCCTGTGGTGATGTGGCGTTCCCGGGGGCACAGGCCTCGTTTGAGGGAAATCACACCTGGTGAGCATTGGTGCCTGTGATCGTGCCGTCATCCAGAGCACTTGAGGAACAGGGTGTCAGGTTGAGAGGACCGAGGTGCCTCCTGACACTGGCCCCTGGCCACTGCCTGTTAGCCTGATAAATGTCCCCTCTCCCTGGTCAAGCAGCCAGGAAGCATGCACCTTCACGCGCCTCTTTTCTCTTCCCGTCAGGAATTTGGATAATGGGCTGTGTGCAATGTAAGGATAAAGAAGCAGCGAAACTGACGGAGGAGAGGGATGGCAGCCTGAACCAGAGCTCCGGGTACCGCTATGGCACAGACCCCACCCCTCAGCACTATCCCAGCTTCGGCGTGACCTCCATCCCAAACTACAACAACTTCCACGCAGCTGGGGGCCAGGGACTCACGGTCTTTGGGGGTGTGAACTCTTCCTCTCACACTGGGACCCTCCGTACGAGAGGAGGGACAGGTAAGCCGCTGACAGTCGGGAGAGCTGAGGGGACGGCTGCCCAGGGGACGGCTGCCCAGGGGACGGCTGAGCTCCTTGTAAGCTCTTGTTGATCGGGGAGGAGGGTGGAGGTGTTCCACAGCCAGTGTGTGGCAGTCGGAGGAGTTGGTTCTCTGCTCTCACCACGGGTTCTAGGGATCAAACTTGGATTGTCGGGCTCCGGCAGCACATTCCTTCACCCACTGAGCCACCTGGCCGGCCCTTTGGCTCTGCTTGTAACTATTTCGGTGGCCCCCTACCTGTGCTCCGTATGACCCACTTTGACTAAAGCTCTAACAGAGAACTTTCAGTCACCTTTATCCATCACCTACCATTCAAAACAGAAGGCCCGAGCTGAATACTCAAGATCAAAATGCCTGGCTTTGGGGGCACAAGAGGCCTCTTGTTACTGCTCTGAGAATTCTGCACGGGTTAGCGCACTGCAGTGTCCTCCTGGGCCCTGTAAGCCAAGCGTTCCCACCCATGGCCGCCCTGAATATATACCTAGCATGGCTACTCTAAAGCATGGCGACCTGAGCCCTGTCCTGGGTCTTCTGCACCTGAGGCCTCAGGCTTGGCTCTGGGTGACCTCGAGCTCTCCAGTATTGATGCACCCCTTCCTCACTCCCGGGGTACCTTCTGTCCCTCTTCTTCCTACTCTTCAGCCTGCCAGCCACTTGCTGGCCAGTGTGGTTATTGGCAGCGTGTTTTTACCATTTATCTCAAGTTCTCAGTATTTCAGCCTGATAAGCCCTCCAGTTTTCCATACGTCTCTGTATTTTCCTCTGTCATATTCGGTGTATGTATGTTGTGTTGTTTTGTCTGTGACTTTGGAGACAGGCTACCACTTTGTAGCTCAGGCTGTCCTCAGACTATTAACAACCCCCCTGCCTTGGTGAGTGTTGGGATTACAGCTATGAAACGTCACACCCAGCTATGTGTTTTAAAGTTGAGCTTTGTGTGCTAAGACCATTTTTATAGTCTCTCTCTCTCCCCACTTCCTCCCCCAAGTTCCCTTTGCTTTATGCCACAAGGCTAGGTTTCACTGCCCTGTCGGTTTGCTGACGTAGCTTTATAACAAATCTGGCGTACATTCTCACATGCTTTCTTCGCTTCTTGTAAGTTGTCTTATGCATCTTTCGTCTTCCAAATCCCCTCCCATTCCATGAACCATGGTAACCAGATATTTGCCATTATTTGTTCCAAAACTGTTCATTACAAAAGTTTAAAAGAATGAAGCATCTCCCAGTTCTTCTGGGGACAGATGCCTCCTGTCGTCTATGACAAGTCATGGTGACTTTTTTAACCTGGAGAGCTGATGCTCCTGACACCGTTAGGCTCTTTCTCTGCGTGCAGCACATGGCAGTGGACTTCAGAGAGGGCACGGTCTCTTCCCGCAGTGCTGTGCCAGTCTCTGCCCCACAGAACAAACATCTGTGCCCATCCCTGACACTGCCGTACCCTTAGATCCAGCTGTATATGCGACCCTCACAAAAACTCCTGTTCTCCTCCAGGGGCCTGAGAAGGAAGCAGACAGGCAGTTTAGGGCCCTCTGTCCTTAGAAGATACAAAAGAAAAGGGAAAACCGAAAGTATACTATGTACACACACACACACACACACACACACACAGAGAGAGAGAGAGAGAGAGAGAGAGAGAGAGAGAGAGAGAGATGCACATACACACACAGCTCTGCTGTGAGAGTATTGAGTGGTTTGTAGCCATAACTCTTAATTCAACAAACATAATCATCATCCCTGTTCATTCTGAAGTCTGTGCATGTCTCATTCACTAAGCTCACCAGCATGGGCGCCTTGTCAAACCTGTGGGTATATACCACAGTCAGGGATAATCTTAGTGGAAGAGGCCATCTGACTCCTTATAAAATTTGAAGTTTCAGATGCCATGCTCGAGCTGGCGAGCTGGCTTAGGGGTTAAGAACCCTTCCTGCTCTTACAGAGGGCCCAGGTTCTGTTCTAGCACTTCCCATCAATCAGCTCACAACCACTTATAACTCCAGTTCAAAGGGATCCAGGTCCTCTTCTGGCCTCTGACACACATATGGTGCACATGCGTATACACAGGCAAAAGTGTATACATAAAACAATAAATTTTGAAAAAGCAGAACCCTGGGATGTTGGCAGATGTCCTTTCCTTGGGTGGTTTGGTTGTGTGTCCCACTTTCTGGCAGATCATCTTCCGTCCCCAGAGGCCACGAGCAGTGTCCACTTTCTCTCCAGCATCCTTTGCTTCCTCCTCCGCCTCAGTGATCGAGTAAGAGGGTTGGAAGGTCTGACTTGGTGTGGCTGCCTTCCACACAGAGATGGCTTGGCTCTGTTTTTACATTATAAAAGGAGGGGCATCTGTCACTGACATGTGAGCTAAGAGTAGGCATGACCATAGAGGCGCCTGCCAGACTCCCCCACCCTGTCAGAGAAACCTCCGTGGTCAGGACACGTGCCTGAGACAGTGAAAAGATGGCTTTCCCCCAGCCTTCTGCTCGAAACAACAGCCTCCTCAGCAGGGGGGCACTCTGAAACCATCAGGGCGGGCACTTTGAGGTGTGTGCAAATCAAACTGAGAAGCCGGATTCAGAGAAATTAAACACTTTCTTCAGCTATCACTTCCTGTGTGACCGCCACTGAACGTCACAGCTCGAACAGGATGTGTTTGTGATCTTACATTTAGTACCTGTGTTTCTGTGGGTCTGCATCTGGGAGTGACAGCCTGGTCCTCCACCTCAGCATACATAGTCTGTGGTCAGGGTGTGTGGACTACACAGTTTGACTAGAATGAACTGCTCCTAGCTCATGTGCTCTGGGCAGGGTCCAGTTCCTGGCTGGGGCTTAGCCAGTTTATTGTCACGAGCGCCTTGCCAGCATGGCGCCCTTCCCAACCAGAGTCTGCAAGGTAGTGTGGCGAAGAGAAGTCTGTCTTCTGAAAAGGTGTGTCACACTGGGGATAGCCTGTCACTTCCATATCCTGTATTAATTTGAATCAAGTCATTGTGTCCATAAGGCAGGGAGGCTGCACACGGGATGAGATCCAAGGCAGGAGTCAGGAGCACTGTCCTAGAATTCTGCCCACCAGGTGGAGCAAGCCCGGGACCGAGTGGGACCCTGGGCGTGCGTTTGTCTGGGTGTGTTTTGCTCTTGGTGGTAAACTCCTAGAATGAGGGAAAGGTTCCGGGGGTCAGCAGGTAAGAGGACTGGGGTGGGTCTGAGGAGTGAGGAGACCGTGAGGACAGGTGAATTCAAGGCCGGAGAACAAGGGGCAGGAAGCGTGGGCAGCCATTGCCACAGCTGCAGGCACCAAGGGCAGTGCGTCTTCCGCTTGGGGTGACCATTACAGAGGTGTCTCTAAGTCTCCCCAGGCCACAGGGCAGGTTTCCTGTTCATTCACTGCTATGTGTGCTGGAGTTGAATGATAAAATACTCAGGCTTCCAGGGACAGTGGGTGGGGGACCATGGGTATGTGCTGCAGACCCATGTCAGTCAGAACCCCACCTCTTCCCCAGTACCCACCCAAAGTTGCACAGTGAGGTATCCCTCAATTCCAGGTTTTTGTCATAATGTCCCCTCTACAAAAACCATGGTATAACTAGTCACGGTGTCCCATATTAATTACAATACCTCGTGTTTATTAATGCCGAGTAACCGTAGATTTTTAAGGATGAGACTTTAGCAGAGATGTAATTGTTAGTATTAATACCCCGAGTAACGATGTCCTTCCTCGACTTGGCAGGAGTGACCCTGTTTGTGGCTCTTTATGACTATGAAGCACGGACGGAAGACGACCTGAGTTTTCACAAAGGAGAAAAGTTTCAAATACTGAACAGCTCGTAAGTTTGGGATCGGGGAGGTGGAGCACGCTGCCTTTTGGTTTGGGGAAGGTTCTTGTGGCAAACACATTTCCTATCTGGAGATAAGGAAAGAATGTTTACCGGGTTCACTAGCTCATAGCGATACAGCCTGAGTGAATTGGTTAAAAAGAAAAAAAAGTGCAGTATTCCGTGGCACTGTATGCTCAAGGACTTTTTACAGCAGAGAACATAGTCTGTTTTAGAATCTATTTCCTAATTGTGTGTGTGTGTGTGTGTGTGTGTGTGTGTGTGTGTGTGTGCGTGTGTGTGCGTGTGTGTGCGTGCCTGCGCGCACATACATACATACATACATGGATCTATGAGAAAGAGCTGCTGTTGTATGAGGGGGTGTGCAAGTGTGTACATCAAGGTCAGAGGAAGCCATCAGGTGGCCTCTGTCACTTTGAGGCAGGTCTGTCCTCGAACCTGGATCTCCTGGTCTTCAGTGTGGCTAGCAGCCAGCAAGCCCAGGAACCCTCTTGTCTCCACCCCACCCCACAGCACTAGGTCACAGGCTTGTGGCAGGGATGCTGGGATGCATGCACTCCTAGCCACCAAGCATCTCTCCAGCCCCAGGGCCCTGTGTTTGCATTTTAGAAAAAGCCTGAAAAGAGCCAGCCAACCCCCAACACACTCACTCACACACACACACACACACACACACACACACACACACACTCTCTCTCTCTCTCTCTCTCTCTCTCTCATGACTGGCACATGGCTTGCCTGCCCAAATCCCATGCTCTCTACCATGAGATTATCTCCACATCTCAGCTGTGGGCACAGGCAGAGGCCTCACACTTCGGGCCAGCAACAGGGTCCTCTACTTTTCCCAGCCGTGAAGCCTGTGGAGGTGGTTCCCTGAGTGTCCGTGCACTGTAAGGAGAGAGCAGAAGCATTTCACCCCCAGGAGAATGGCTGCAGAGTGTGTGTTATAAATGTGACCACTAGGAAGGACTGTAAACAGAGAGCAGGCGAACTTAGGGCAAAGGTGACGTCCTTTTCTAGCCCCACCTTGTTACCTGCAGAGGAAGAGCCGCTGTGGATCAACCTTAGATTCTAAAACATCACCTCTCTTAGATGTAGGCAGTGTGTGTGGATGAGGGAACTGCAGGAAACCCAGGCTCCCGAAAATGGCAGTGCCATGCCTCAGCCCCTCAAGGTCTTGATAGGCGCTCCCCAGTCATTGGGAAAGATGGCCACTGGGGCCGGGCACATCGGGGAGCTTGCTCATGCCACCAAGTCCGGTTGCTTCTCCTCCAGCTGGATTTCCAGGAAGTTGAAGGCTTTGAAACTTGGCTCTTCAGCGTCCTCTAAAAAGATGAACATAGGGAGGGAGGTAAGAGGTAACACCCCAGGAAAGAGGAGGGATGTGGCAACAGAGGACTCCCTGTCACCTGCAGACTGTCTCCTTCCTGGGGGCACCTCTGGCTCTCAGCCCGTACACTGAGAACATACCAACTTTACCAGTAAGCCCCAATACCTCCAGAGACACTGCCTACATAACACCAGGGACATTTGAATTAGGAGCACTGTCATCCCCAACAGAGGTGTACCTGTGTGCTGTTCTTTAATTTACTGAAATACATGCAGAAATGTGCATAGACTTCTGCCTGGTGATGCTTGTATAACAATGTAACTACTAACTTACCACCTTGCAAACTCACACGGAAGGAAAAGTGTAAAAATTGATACATTTATGCTATATGTATCTTACCACAGTTTTTCACAAACATCAAGTTTACTGTATTCTCAGAAACTAAGCATGTCTGTGCAACCAGCACCCAGGTTGAGAGCCTTGCCTCCCCCACCCCTGCCCCCTGCAGACACAGGAATGTCCTAGTCAACAGCTGCCGGTTATTGAAGGCTCCCGGGTGCTGACCATGTGCTGCTGCAATTGCTGTCATTGATTCTTCGCAGCAGCTGTCCAGGATGTGTCGCAGTCGTTAGGTGACATCTGAGAGCGGGAGGGCACAGGTTAGGGAGCCCAGGGCACAGTCCTGGCAGGTGGCAAAGCCCGGGGGAAATGAAGGTTCAGAATTCCGAGTGCAGTGTCTGATGGGACCTCGGAAAAGCCCGGCTGCTGCCGTCCACCGTAGCTGAAGTATCTGTCGGTAAAAGAGTTAGAATGTTGGCTGGAGAGTCAGAGAGGGAATTTGGCTTGGCTCTCTTCCCATTTGTGATCGCTCATCGTTAGTTTGATTCCCAGATGAACGCTTCTTGTCAGTCTGTTGACGGGGTTTGTATCCACCTCCCCAGTTGTACAGTATTCTTCAAATGGCAAGATCAACCAGAAATTTGAAACTCTGTAAGCCTCGGAAGTAAGTAATAGAAGGGGTAGAGAGAAGCATGTGCGGCTGTGGCCCTCTGAGCACACTCGTGGTGACGGCGTCTCTATTCGGGTTGCAGGGCAGGAACATGCTGGTCACAGCCAAGTCAAACCCCTGGCGTCTTCCTCTGTTACAGAAAGGACCTACAATATCAACAAAGTGAATTCTAGAGAAATAGCTAAGGGGAGGACGCGGTCTGTCCCACTCTGTATTTTTATTTCAAGACATAGTTTTTAATGTTTACAGAGTCCTGTGGCCCTCCGGCCCTGTTCTCCCAGAAGAGAACATTGCAAAGGGGCTTTTCCTTTAAGAGAGGAATTCTTCAAGCTCCATGCCATTTAAGTGCCCCTTTCACGGTTATGGAAAAGAAAAGTAAGGTTTGTACCGTACAATGGTATCTGGAGTCAGGGGTAATAACAGGGAAGGGAAACCAGGGAGGAAAAACAAAACACCACAGAGCAGATGGCATGGGGGCCTCCCTCCCTCCCTCGCCGCCCAGCCCTGGCTCTCAGCGCTGACAGGAGAGGGTGGAGCTCTGTTCTCCTGGGAACAGCTGCCACCCCTCTTGTATGTCCCCCTGACCCGCCCCATCAAGAGGCCCTCATCCACCATCGCATGTACAGGGAGGGCAGTGCCCAGAAGGGCCGCGCCAGTGCCGACAGGTTGGAGGGTAGTTCTCAGTGTTCTGTCTCAGGACTTCGCAGGCCGGAGCTCATCCTGCACTGTATTTAAGTTCACCTGTTTAATTCCCTGTTTTCACACTTCGTAACTAGTGATTTAACATCTCGAAACAGTAAGTCCTTAAAATGCAATCAACATTTTACACAGATGAAATAAATCACTGCCCAGAACCCACTGAAAGTTCTTTTCTGTCACGATCAGACAAAAAAAAAAAAAAAAAAATTGATTATCCAGATGTGATCAAAGTTGTTACAGAGAGGCTCTCTTCAAGTGAGAAGGACAGTTGGCTAAACACAGGGAGACTCCAGCACTCCGTGGCTGGCTGCTCTTGGCAAAACCACTTCCTGCCTCCATCTAGGCTCCCAGCACCTGGAGCCACAGTCCTGTGAGGGACTTTAAGGACTAGAGACAGGAATGGAGGAACAGAGGCTATTATAAAAACAAACAAAAAACAAGAAAAAAACCTTAGAAGTCATTCTCAACCACTGTCAGGGGTTAAATTGTGAGTTTGATTCAAAACAATAAGACAGTGTGAATTAATACAAAAGCTGCTGTTAAGAACAGTTTAGAGAAGTACAGCTTTATAGGCTGGGGAGATAGCTTAGCAGGTAAGGCCCGGAACCTAGTCCAGCCACCAGCAGGTGAGCCCAGAACCTAGTCCAGCCGCCAGTGCCCACACAGAAAGCTGAGTGCTGGGGAAGCAGACAGGCAAGGAGGATCGCTGGCCACTGTCCAGCTGAATCAGCTAGCTTCAGGGTCAGTGAGAGGCGGAGAGCAATTGAGGAATACAACAGCATCAACCTCTGGCCTCTGTAGACACACACACGCTCTCGTGTGCAGATTTACTAATAATGAGTAACTACAGCAGATCAAGTCAAGAGTGAAAGGGGGGGCATATTAGAGATCCCACTCCAAATCAGCACCATGTGCAGAAGGTATTTGTAGGTGAATTGGTGCTACAGTGTATGAAACAGAGATTTATTTATTTGCCTAATAACCTCTGGTGGATGTTTTGAGTCTTATCACTCCTCAAGGCCCAGTGAGAGTAAAATGGGAGGGAACTGCCTCAAGATGTGACATTTGCCGGGCGGTGGTGGCACACGCCTTTAATCCCAGCACTCGGGAGGCAGAGGCAGGCAGATCTCTATGAGTTCGAGGCCAGCCTGGGCTACAGAGTGAGATCCAGGAAAGGTGCAAAGCTGCACAGAGAAATCCTGTCTCGGGGGAAAAAAAAAAAAAAAAGATGTGACATTTACCTCGTAATGCATTGAGTCTTTGTCCCTGTGTGTTGCTTGGAGGATAGAGAAGAAAAAGAAAATGACCCTGGCTGGCCCAAAAACAGAAGTCCCGGGGACGGTATCTTTCTTGTGCCTAAGTACAAGCTCCGTGGTATTGACTGTTGGATTCTATTGTGTGATGAACTGTTTAGGTGCCTACACCAAACAGTAAGTAATACTGACTTAAACTGGAACTTGCTTCATTAATGCCGAATCACCTGAATAAAACTGGGCTTGTCCCAACTTGCAGCAAGGTGTATTGGCTTCCTGACCCCATTGATGCTGACATCACCCAAAACTGATGCTAGCCTTTCTGTTCCTTAACTTAACTCAATTATATCTAAGTTGATAACGGTTTTTGTGCGTTAGAAAGTAAGCTGTGTTACAAGCACTTGATTTTTCTTCGCCATTTTGGAGCATTTCCCAGGTTGGGGGCACTGGTTGCAGTGAGGCGCCAGTGGGTGATTTTTTTAATGATGAAATGTCTCCATCTAGTGGAAGTTCAGAGCAGTAATGATTGTCACTATTCAAATGGAGGTGGTGTTTCCAAATAATGTTTAGCATAACTTCCACATACACATTTAGATGCTAGACTTACAACTATGTATATTCCTGTGGGGCTAGAAATGGGAACAATGCCAACTTAAAATGTTACCCTTTTTTCCTCCTGTGGTGCTGGGGTTCAGAACCAGGACACACTAGGCAAGCAGTCTGCCACAGAGCACCCCTCTACCAAGTCATGAGTTGAACTACAAGGAAGAGGGACACAAGTACAGGTTGTAGCTGGGATAGACTTCCATGTGCTTGGAAAATGACATGGCTCTTATATTCTTCGGGTATTTTTATCTGTGTAAAATCTTTGATATATATAAAAATATTTCAAAGAATGTGGATATAATTGAGCTGTAATTAAAGGGCTTTCTGGGTAGAATTACAATATCCCTCTCGTGGTCGATCTGTTTGTTTAACAGGGTTAAATAAGACACTGAGGAATAGTGTGTTCAAGACTGGCTCTCACTATGATGTAGCCTGGCTGGCCGGAACTCATTGTGTAGACGAGGCTGGATTCGAACTCACGGAGATCAGCCTTCCTCTGCTTTCCAGGTGCTGGGACTAAATGTGTGCTCCACCACACCTAGCCAAGGAACAAGTGTTTTTAAATCTTTAGAACTAGAGAAATGGCTCGGGAGTTAAGAGCATGTGCTGTTCTTCCGGAAAACCCAGTTTTGGTATCCAGCACCCACATCAGCTCACAACCATCTGTAGCTCCAGGAGTCAGAGACCTCTGGCCTCCAAGGGCACCTCCACTCACATACACATCGAGCTGCACACAGACACACTCATGCCTGCACATAGTATTTTAGAAACATAAATCTCTGAAACAAACACATACCTTTCTAGCACTTTGGTTTCTTGTGAATGAGTCTGTCATCCCACAGCACCCACTTGGACTAGTCACCATTTTTTTCTGTGACTTTCTAAAACCCCACCTGACTCACTGCCCCTTGGTTTCCCCACTCAGAAGTGTCATGTAGGGAACCTGAAAAGACTCCAGCTGAACAGGAGGCAGGTTGGAGAGAATGCTCCCCTAGTCCCATGCTGGATTTCCTCCTTGGCTGAGAGCATCCACAGAGCCCAGCCAAAGGGCGATTTTTCTTTTTTTTTTTTTAACTGAAGGCCTGGGGTTTCTCTTGCTCCTTCCAAGGACTAAAGGAAGGCAAGGAGGTGATGCACCTGTAATAGTCGCAGACTGAGGGGCCTGAGTGCAGGAGGGCAACTCTGCCCTCCCACCGCTCCTGACCTCATTGGTGGAGAGTCGCAGCTAACCTCCACACATCCGACCTTCCGCCCACCCACTGCTAGTGGGAGGAAGCTCACACTCCATCCTTGCTCTTTGTTGTACAAAACCCTGCATGAACCCAAACATGTGAACGCCTGCTTTGTGCACAGTGACTTTAAACTGAGTGTTGAAAGTGCCCCCCACCCACCCTCCCGCACTCATCCCCACCCCCCACCCCCCCGCAACCCCGCCTCACACTCTCTGAGCACTTTGCTGCCATGCCTCGGAGTTCACCGCCCTCTGAGTTTTCCGCTCCTGCCGTCCAGCCGTGCGCTGGCCCACCCTTTGTCAGGCAGGCTAAAGTTCCGAGTGTTGATAGAATAACCCCCAATTGAAAGTGTCTGAGGAAAGCTTGTCTCACGGTGTTCTTGATCATTCTACCTGCAGAAAACCTGTCTTCCCACTTTCCTAAGAGCAAGCAAGATGGGTCCACTAAGCATTCATCCATCACTCACTGCACCTCCTAACAGGCTTCCCTCCCCGAAACAGTCTGCAGTTTCCTAAAGTAAGCTGAGGCTGCAGCGTGTACTCCCACACACACCTCATCCAAGTTCACCTGCTACCCAGAAAATCACTTTTCCTGAAAGTGCATGCTCCCTGGAGCCCTACATGAGAAAGTGTTTATTTTAGGATCTCTGGCCTTGAGGATGACCTTGAACTTCTAGTCTTGCTTCTGCCGTCTGCTGGCTTTGAACCTAGAGCCTTGTGACCCTAGAGAGCATTACCGGTTCAGCTGCATAATTTCCCCAGAAGGCAAGAGGCAGCCCTGGCTTCAGTTCAGGGTGGTCTGGGTTGTAAGCCATGTGGCCTCCTTAGGGCCGGTGTTAGTCTGCAGAAGGGGGGCAGGACTGCAGAACTGCACGGCCGAGGGCTGATGGCTGCATCGAATCTGACTGCAGAGCGCCGCCGCCGCATGGATGATGCAGTCACGTCTCTCCTCTTCTTCCTTTGCAGGGAAGGAGACTGGTGGGAAGCCCGCTCCTTGACAACGGGAGAAACTGGTTACATTCCGAGCAATTATGTGGCTCCAGTCGACTCGATCCAGGCAGAAGAGTATGTTGTTGTTGTTGTTGTTGTTGTTTTCTCTAACTCCTGCTTTGAAAAGTTGATTGTCACAACAAAATGCCACTGACGTGGCACAGGAGAGAGAAGAAATTCACCAGTGATCAAGGGTTGTCCCTCTGATTTCTGTCAGGTCTCTGCAGTACACTGTGTTAGCTTCATCTCTTCCTTTAAGCCTGTCCATTTTCCTATTTAGAAGCCCATATGAGTACCCTAAATGAAAACCCTCTAACTTGCTCTAGATTAAAAACTAACGTGGTGAGATGCCAACCGCAGCTTGTATTATTGAGAGCCTCTGGTGCACCTGCAGTCTGCTCCCCGGGCACCGAGGAGGCAAATAATTACTAAAGAGTGAGCTAGGAGGCTTCTCCCTGGTAATCAGAAATATTGAGAGTCCTGACGAGACATACCTTCTGGCTCCGGGTAAAAGGATTTCACATACGGCAAGTCCCATAGCTTGGAAAACATTGCAGCTGTGGGTTTCAGGTGATGTCTGCCTCTGAGGTCTCGGTTTTCTCGTGGCTGACGGACACTGACTAGCAGTCACTCGGCCTCACTCTCCCACTGGAGGCCGTTTAGGAAAAGTGCCGAGAGACTCCAGGCTTCTCAAAGGCTCAGTGACGGATCGCTGTTCCTTTCCTCTCAGAGACATTTGTAAGACGCCAGCAAGAGGAGATGGACAGTGATGTCCCGAAGTCAGGAACTTGGCCTCCGCCCCGGCCCTGGCACCTGGCCCACTAGAAAGGGAGAGGAAGTCAGGTGCACACAGCCTGCAGCTCTCATGTTAAATTCTGCTGTGGATTTGTTGAGGCACAGCAAGGAGGATTAGACTGGTCACCCTCGCCAAATCCCCGGTCTGATCGGTGTCTCCTCTAATTCCTTTGTATCGACTGTACTAAGGAGATCGGTTTCCGCTTTCCAGCACCCAGTGGCTTTGAGCTGTTTTTTCTCTCCCTCCCCTCCTTATTAATATGTTTCATTATCAGTAAATACATGTGTTTGTACTGAATTTTTATTGTAGGACAGATTTGTAAATATCTGCAATGCCTTTTCAGAATTTAAAACTCACTATGGAATAACATTACTTTGATTTAACTGGAAACCCCATTGGCTACGTATTTAAGTCATATTTATAATAATAAGGATTTTTTATATTTTAGGTTTTTGTAGATGAGGGTAGCTTTTTCTAAGAAAGCCTATGGTTTTTACGTGTGCAGTTAATTAGCATTGTGTTAGAGAACTGCTTCGTTAGGTGTCCTCCACTGTTCTCCAAGCCCGCTTCCCCACTGTTTTACACGTCATCTTAACTGAGTTATTGATACATAACCAAGAAAGACATTTCTCACAGACTATTGTGTCATGTCCTTCACACCAACTATTGCTGGATTGGGATTGTGGAAAATGTTGGCATCTCTCAAGTCACCGGATTTTCTTCAGTTAAATTCTTTCCCTCACAGGAGGACTGATGGTGAACTTGTTAGCTACATTCAGGTGTGATGGACTGTCATTTTTAAAGCTGCATGCTTTCATAGTTAAACATCCTAAAAACTGTTCCTACACACAGATGCTAGTGGAATGCTCCAAAACTCTTCCCTGGGCCCTTGGTACCCTTAACCACCCATCTACAAGACAGTCCTGAAATGTGAACCAGTTGCCCAGCTCTGGTTAGGGCTTGGCAATACAGGAGAGGAGACAAGAGACACGTAAAGAGAGATCCTGAGGTGACTTGAGGCTTCCTACCACGGCACAAAAGAGCCATCAGTTTGCTTCAAGGGGATGGTAAAAGGTCTACCCCACCGACTCATTTCCCCGGACATGCTCATTGACTGTGCATAGATCTCAGTTGTGCGGTAAGCTGTCCCTACAGCCGTGTCCAAGACAGCCGGGCTGCAGATCCCAGGCCAGGTCACACCTGCAGGTGCGCAGGGATGAGACAGTCAAGCCGGGCTTTCAAGGACAACAGTTGTCTCGGACCAGGGCTAGAGCTGCCTTCCTTTCTTGAGAATTCTCATATGTGGAGCTTGAATGGAAATGTTGTCCACCTTTCTTCTTTCTCCATCCTGGGTGAGCTTCTTGTTAAAAATAATGCTTGATCAGTGAGCTGTCTCTCTAGTAGGGCTGCGCCTTGGTGTTTCCCAGGAGTTGTAATTATGCTCAGGAATCAAGGGTCTCATAGCTGAGCTGCGGAAGCATCTCCTGCAGGTGGCATTTCAAACAAGGTGGCAGGTTCTCTTTCTGTGCATGCAGGTGGCACTTTTCACACATGTGCGTTCCTGTCATCCTAGAGGGAAGGAAAACAACCCACAATTCAAATCGGGTGTTTTTTTGTTTTTTTTTTTTTTAAGAATGAAAGCGATGGAAAGAAGATAGAATCAGGGATAGACTGAAAAGGCACTGAATGAAGCTAGAAAAGTAAACAGTTGGGGACAGTGGGGGGCAACATTGGGAGAGAAGGAATTTGTGGAGGAAGAGCTGCTTCGCTCAGTCACAGGTGGCCTTATTTTCTTCCCTCCATCTCCCTCAAAGGTGGTACTTTGGAAAACTTGGCCGGAAAGATGCTGAGCGACAGCTCCTGTCCTTTGGAAACCCAAGAGGTACCTTTCTTATCCGCGAGAGCGAAACCACCAAAGGTAAGCTCTGGAGCCGACGCAGCTGCCTTGCCGTTCAAGTCCATGGATTAGTCTTGAGGCTGGAAGGCTTTGCTGTAGTGCACAAGGGTCTTAGCTGGCCCAGCTCCCTCCTGCCTCCTGGAGACTCTGGAGCATGGCAGACAGCATCCCTGCCTCAGACTCGGGTCTTGCTAGAGTGCCAGTGTCTCTACAGTCTTTCCTTTCCCTCTTCCCTCTGTTAATAAGTCATTAGCGCCCACAGGAGGAGGTAGGTCAACGGGGCGGGAATGGTGGTCTCTGGCTCCATGTGCCATACACCGGTAACCTGTCCCTGTGAAGTGTCGGCCAGCAGAGTTCTGGAGCTTCCTTTCAGGGGAGCAACGCTTCATTTCCTTTGTGCCCACCTCCTGCTCCTCCATGATCTCTGTCCTCACCCTCCCCGCCTCTCAGGTACCCCATGGGAAATAAAACAGGAGACAAGCTCACCTCGAGTCCAGTACCGCCCTTAGCCTTGCCCAGTGTGATTTGGTCTGGGCCGTGTTAGTCAACACAAGAAGCTGAAAGGAAACTTTAGAAAAACAGCTGGGAAGTTTTAGTTCCAGGGGTAGAGTCATTTTGTTGCTGACATCTTCTGACACTGGCAGGACAGCAAGGGTTGTCTTTGTCCTGTGGCTGAGTAGAGATGGTGTGTGTCTGTACAACCCTCCTCCCTCCCTCCCTCCCTCCCTCCCTCCCTCCCTCCCCCACTCTCTCATATGTGTGTGTTGTGCACGTGTGTATGTGTGTAAGCATGTGTGTGCATGCATGTATGTGTGTCCTTTTGATAATTAATAGAATAGTTAAATAAATGAGACCCTCGAAGCAGGCTGGCGATCACGGGTGACTGAGCCCGCTAATGCTCTGCCTGTTCCCCAGGTGCCTACTCACTTTCCATCCGTGACTGGGATGATATGAAAGGAGACCACGTCAAACATTATAAAATCCGCAAGCTTGACAACGGCGGGTACTACATCACGACCCGGGCGCAGTTTGAGACCCTTCAGCAGCTCGTACAGCACTACTCAGGTAACCTCAATTCTGACCGCCCTCGGCGTTGGGAAACTGAGAGGAGTGGGTGGGGGAGTGGGCGGGTCAGAGCGGGAAGGGAGAGGAGGAGATCACAGGTGCCTATGGAGTCCCTAAGGAGAGCTGTTTGCTGTGCTCGCCCTGGCACCAGACTTGAACTGGTGGCTCTGTTGCTGTTCCACCACAGATAGCATTGTCCTCATGTGCTTTTCAGAGGTTCCCCCAAGTAGAAAGTTTAAATCTTAGAAGTTGTTGTCGTTTTTATTTTCATAATAAAAGTCCTTGCGAGGTCTTTCCCTTTCGCCCTCCTGTGGTACAGAACTGTCAAAGGGAAGGAAGAAAGGATTGTCCCTGGGCAGGCTCACATGAGACATCCCTTGACGCTCGCCCTGAAGTGGGGGTGCACACCCCCCCCCCTGCATTTCATGACCATTCGTCAGCAGAAGTAAATCTGCGTTCCGTTTTCCACGGGCTGCTTCCCACGCAGGCTTACAGCTCTATTACCTCTATTGTGACTTTCGGTTTTCTCTTTTGAGGCAGGGTCTCACTGTGTAGGCCTGGTGGCCTCAAACTCAGCAGAGATCCCCATGCTGAGACTAAAGGTGTGTGCTATCACACCCAGCTGTTGGGATGACGTTAAACAAAGATTAGGCTGTCGTCATACCAAGTGATAGCACTCTTTTGTTCTTGGCGATTTAATTATTGGATATATGTATATGTGCGTGCATTTTATCTAAGTATGTAGCTTTATGTGCAGTTGTTTAATATGCTCTGCTTGCTTTCCTTGGTTAACAGGTGTGTCCCACTGTACAGTGCATGTGCACACGACCCCTCCCCCCCCTTTTTTTCTTTTCCTTTGAGATAAGGTCTCACTTGTAGCCCTAGGTATCCCAGCATTCATTGTGTGGCCCAAGGTGACCTGTCAAAGTTAGAGCAGTCCTCCTGGGTCAGCCTCCTGAATTCTGGTATCACAGGCAGGAGCCACACCCAGCTTTTTCACCCCACACTGAAAAATAGTTGTGCTATTTTTAGCACAAAAAAAATGTAGTCTTTTAAAAATAATAAGAAATGCCTATGAATTGATTCTGGCCATTGATGAGCAATTGAAAAAATTAACAGCACCTGAGTAGCCAGTGATTCGGGCATTAGCTCTCTCACTCTACATGGATTCTGATGAAATATTGAGAGAAATGGAGCAGAAAATCTCCCTGAGCTTCAGAGACATACACAAAACGCCTGTGTGCTATAAGGATTTTTCAAATGCTGAAATATATTTCATTACAGGCAAACATCAGCAGGATCCCCAGGGTTTGGATCATTTGAAAATAGTGTGCTGCAAAGGGCACCTTAATAACATCATAAAGCTGGAAGGAGAGCGGAGATGAAGAACAATAGACGTTTTTTAATCTCAGGGAAAAAAAAATCTATCTTGAGCTAGATTTGTTTTTATATTGGCTTTTCCTCTTTCCCTCTTGCACGTAGAATGCCTTTGAAATGCTGACACATAAATAATTTCCTGCCTAAACATCTCAGAACTAGATTCCATCAAAAAGAAAAGTGAAAAAGAAGCTAAGAATTCCCAGAAAAGAGGCAGCCAAGTTTGTGCTTTGAATCTGAGGTGCTTCAAGGGACGTGGAGGGCTCTGCCCGCCTATCAGTCCAGGCTCTGTGTGGCTTGCATCTGTCCCTGAGGGCTTGTTCTCTGTTGACATTTAGTCGATCTCCCCTTACCTTCCCTAGATTCTCAGAGGTATCTTTTTTTTCAAAAAGGAAGGAGGAAAACTCAACCTCCCAGTAACCCGAGCAGTAGCTGTTTCCCTGTCTTTCATGTCCTTGAGTTTCTGTGAATGTTAATTTCCACTCTGCATTTGAATCCAGACTCCTACATTATACGTAGGAAGCTGTTTAAAGGTTGTGTTTTCATGTTTGTTTGTTTTTAGTGGAAAATTGCCCATAAAAGCTGTGCAAGCACACAGGACGGTAGACCAGAATCAGAAGGACGAAGCAGTCCTGAAGAACATGTGACATGCTTTGCCGGCTGCCGGTGCCCCTGAGGCCCACCGACAGACCAGCCTTCTGTGGAGGGCTCCCATGCTCAAGTCACATTTTAAACACATTTGTACCAGGGAGATTCCTTCAACCCCTGGGCCATCTAGATATCAGAAGGGAAAGGGACAGTCACATGTTTATTTTTATGTATGCACTGTTTGAAATTAGCAAGGGCATTTTCAGAATTCCAGAATATGTGTGCTAGTCCGTTAGACCAAAGTGCAGAGAAGCCAAAGCACTCTGCACCTGTGTATACAGAGCATGCCAGGAGCACTGAAAACCCACGTCTGAAATGCCCTCCTCCGCCCCCAGCCAGTGTTGGCTTGTGTTTGTCGAATCTCCTGTGGCCTGTGCAACTGTTGTTACATGTTCTGCTCTTCTCTCCCTCACCGCTGCCCTGCTCCTCCAGAGAGAGCCGCAGGTCTCTGCTGCCGCCTAGTAGTTCCCTGTCACAAAGGGATGCCAAGGCTTACCGATCTGTCTGTCAAAACCAAAGATGTCTGGGAGATCCCTCGAGAATCCCTGCAGTTGATCAAGAGACTGGGAAATGGGCAGTTTGGGGAAGTATGGATGGGTATGCTGAGACTCAATTACTCTTTTATTAGCTTCCTCGTTTGGGAAATCCCAAACATCAAAGATGGAAGGTGAAAATAAAGATATTTTTTATGACCAGGAAGACAATTTGAATTACTCAATTTGTATCTTTAAAAAAATTGGAATCTCAGCCGGGCGGTGGTGGCGCATGCCTTTAATCCCAGCACTCGGGAGGCAGAGCCAGGTGGATCTCTGTGAGTTCGAGGCCAGCCTGGGCTACCAAGTGAGCTCCAGGAAAGGCGCAAAGCTACACAGAGAAACCCTGTCTCGAAAAACCAAAAAAAAAAAAAAAAAAAAAAAAAAAAAATTGGAATCTCTCAAAAAGATCGAAAAGAGCAAGGGTGTTTGGCGGATGGCTCAGGTTGCGCTGTTGCTGGTAGAAGGAAAATTCCAGCCTGCAGAGCGCCTTACCCTGCATTGCCGGCTGCAGACATTGGCGAATGTTGCCCTCAGGGCACGTCACCTTCCATCTTTCCTAGTGCATGCATGATTCTGGATTATAAGGACTGTGTTTTCTTTATTAATTCCCTCTCCTGTAGAGAAAGCTGATGGTTTGTGTTTTAACTTAACTGTGATTTCATCAAGTTGTACCCCACAAACTTCTGGATTGGCTAAAGATGCTTGGGAAGTGGCACGTCACTCGTTGTTTCTGGAGAAGAAGCTGGGGCAGGGGTGTTTCGCTGAAGTGTGGCTGGGTAAGGCAGAGGGCACATTCTGTTTTGGCTGCATCTCAAAGCCAACGAAAAGGACACTTGTGAACAGAAATGCATATGTGACCATTGGGACCGAGACCCTTGACCTGTGTAACTAGATGGGTGTCAAGCCCGGGTTTGCAGAACGTGGTGGCACCTTGCTGTGTTCACCTGTCCTATTTCATGTGGCTCATTAAGCACCTGCAGACAGGAAGCCAACCCACTGTGAATGTGGTGTTTTCTCTTCCTGTGGAATGGACCGGTAAGATGCTGTGTAGGGCAGCTAGAGAAAGGTCATGGGCCTTTTGCATGCCAAGCCTGGGTCTAAGCTCTTGCTGGATGATTAAGCATAAATACGGGCCTGTTTAACCCCTCAGAGCCTCAGTTCCTCATCTGTTAAACCAGAGTCATAGCTGCTCCACTGGACTGTTTAGAGGATTATGTCAGACATGTTTAAACTTCCTTGTAGATCTTAGATTCATGCACACCGTTCTTCATTTGCTGGTCAGTAATGCCAACTGCACTGGGCCCTTGAGATGGCGTTTATAACCCTCTGGGTCAGGTGCAACTTTGCTTACAGACCATGCACAGACTTAGATCCCTCCCAAAAACATCTGTCCATAAAATAATAAAGTATTGGGACCTCCCTTCCTTAGAGTCTAAAAGGATATAAACAGGTACGTGTGGTCTTCAGGTATAATCCCCAGTAAGAGAGTTAATGTAATCAAAGTGCTTGAAACGGAGCAGGTACCATGCAGACACATAAACAGATGCCCAAATGGATAATGGAAGTACACAGACATGCATGTGTATATATTAGCTACTGTGCATATTACAATAGTGAATCCACATTAATGTGCCCATCCCTGTCTAGACGTTATCTCAAGTACTATAAAATCTGCTTATATAACATGTTCTTCATTATCTATCCAACTTATAATTGAAGTTGTAAGTCCTAAGGAATTTCATCAGATCACACAATCAGGAAGAATTGGACAGATGCTATAAGAAATTTTATCTTCCAACTTTTGGAACTATCACCTTTAAATCATCATTACAGAGCACTAAGGTGTTGTTTCCCATGGAATGGAAGAGTGCGGATAGAAGCCTAGACAGTTACCCGAGCTAAGAGAGGAAGAGCGCACTGGGCTTAAATTGGAAAATGTTAACAGTTAAATCACGGAGGCCACTTAAAAGTTGTCAGTTCCCATTTACACTGAGTGGCAGATACTTCCTGAGATCATTGAACTCTCTAAGCCACTGGCTTTCATAGGTTTTTTTCCCCCCATAGGATACAGTTGTGATTATATGTTTTCACAAAATAATAAATGATTAATATACAGGCTCCTTAGATCTGAAGTCAGGTTACATGTTAGTCAATCTTGGATTGAACCTGTATTTTCTTTCCAATTGTAAGCAATATAGTCAGAACTTAGCAGATTTTTATTTTCCCTTTACAAAATTATCCTTCAAAGTTGTCAGTTAAAAATGGAATAAGCCAGAATTTTGTCTTTTTGAGAACCAAAAGAGAATGAAAAGCTAGTCCATTGCTGTATTTTACAGATGAACTAACTGATAACTAAACCAGCCTCACCTTTGGGTCAGCTCGATTTTTGAAGAAGTATTTACACACAGCGTTTAAATACTTCTCTTCTTTCCTCGCTGCTGTTTGGTTTTGGAGTCCACCTGCTGGAAGCCATTGTTCTTGTGGCTGACTCTCCAGAAGCCTGAGGGATTCACCTTGCTTGCGGAAGTGTGGCCAAGGAGCCGGTGTGCTCCTTGCCTGTGCTTCTGGGCACATTTAGCACAGCTGCTGAAGGACTCAGTCAGGTAACTCATCCCGTGCAGATGGTAGGAAGCCTAGAACCAATTGCCAAGCATCCTTGCTGTGTGGCCATATTTTTATGGGGGCACACCCTCTAAGATGGAATTTCATCTGATTTCTTCCAGGCTTTTCCTGCTATCTGAAAGACAACTATTGGATACCCAGGCCAATTCTAAAATCCTAGACTCTCATCACTTCAAGAGCCCAGAGCTTTTTGGTGTAAATTCATAGTTAAATGGATGAGTCATAATGAAGACTGATGTATAGCAAATAGAAATTGATTCAATAATTAGTGAATTATTAAACAACTATGAGTAAACTCATTTTTTCTGTTGAAATACATGACTGAGTCCTTTGCAATTGTCTTTGCTCATAAGAACCATTTAAGGTTTTTTAAAACTTAAAGTCTGATTTTATGCACATAGTTGCTAGTCAAAATTATTTTTCCCATGAAAAGAGTATCTTTGTGTTGACTTAGTCTTGTGGGATGTTTGTAGGTACCTGGAATGGAAACACAAAAGTAGCCATAAAGACTCTTAAGCCGGGCACCATGTCTCCGGAGTCCTTCCTGGAGGAGGCACAGATCATGAAGAAGCTAAAGCATGATAAACTGGTGCAGCTGTACGCCGTGGTGTCCGAGGAGCCCATTTACATCGTCACAGAGTACATGAGTAAAGGTACGACAGTGTCCCCCACCTCTGCCTCCCGCTGGCCAGCTGCAGGTTCCAGGGACTGTTACTTAGCCCCCAGCTTCTACATGGGCCAGGGATTCCCCTCAGGAATGTGCCAGCTGTGCTCACTCAGGATAACACTTAGAAAAAGGGGGGCATTGAGTTTGCCCCCCAGAGTCTTGAGAAGTACACTTTGGCCTGTTACACATCAGGAGTGTTCCTTGCATAATTAAAACATCCATTTTAAGTCGGGCGGCAGTGGCGCACGCCTTTAATCCCAGCACTCGGGAAGCAGAGCCAGGCAGATCTCTGTGAATTCAAGGCCAGCCTGGTCTACAGACACCAAAACTACACGGAGAAACCCTGTCTCAAAAAACAAAAAACAAAACAAAACAACCAAACCAAAAAAACCTCCCGTTTTATATCAGAGCTAATGTAGAGGGCTATAAAACCTGCTGCCATTTTGAATCAGTGGCTTCTCTTACATTTCCCTTTTTAGGGCTAAATAATCAATAGCAGACAATTGGTGGGTTAGTTCAGGCTTCAGATCAACATCTTTCTCCCCAGTTTTCTCTTCAAATGTCAGGTGAAGAAACGCTATGCAGTTATTCCCTCCCTCCCCTCCCTGAACAGTCATGTATTGGCGCACACGTGTGCATGTGTACATCATTATAATCAAACCAGCATTGTTGGGGATGAAGCCAGAGAGCACTTTGTTTTGGAAAAATAAATGAGGCAAACAAGAAGCAGCCTTAAAAGGCCGTGCATTGTACTTTAGAAGACACTAGTGTAATTTTTCTTTTCTCTGCACTCTCTTTTAAAATATAATTGGAATTTTTTCCTGGCAGATTGTTTGCCCTTTGGATCCAGGGTTATTTTGTAAATAGCTTTGTGATTAAAGCATTTAAAAAAAAATGCACCCCACTGACGGCCATCATGTGCCCCCAGCTCCTGCAACTGATTATCTCCGCCTTGGTGTCAGTTCTGGGCCTCCTCACGCAGCTTCCAAGCGTGGCTCTGCAGCTCTGCCTGTTTGTCTCAGATGTCTGAGGCAGAGGCCTGGCTGCCCGTGATCTAATTAAGAAGCTCTCTGCCCCACATTCCTCAGACGCTGCATTCACAGCTTCAGACCTGAAAATGAGTCAGTGATTCTAAAACTCACCAGTACTGGAGTCACCTTGAGGACCTCTGGAAACAGGGGTGTCAGGGTCTGACTCCAGAGTCTCTGACGCAGTCGGTGGAGCCTGGGCTGGAGCCTAAGGATGGGCACTTCCGGCACATTCCCTGGCAGAGCTGACGCCCCTGGTGCCAGCACTGCGTCCTCAGTGCTCACTCCCTCTGCAGGGGTGACAGGGCCATGTGACCATGGTTCGGTTCCTGACATACCCTTCCCTCCTCGTGACAGAAGAGGAGATGAAGTTCATTTCTTCTAGTTCTACCAAACTCTTTGTCCTGAGAAACAGAATAATTGCTGTTTATTTCCAGACGCTAAAACTTGCTCCTTAAAACCTGGAATTTGTTTCTCTGCTTTTTATACAAACCTTTCTTTTTCTTTCGGTGGTATTGTCCCATTCAGCTACCCTTTACTTACAGTAAGGAAATCAAATACAGCCCACAAGGAGTTTTTGCCTTTCCGAGTAAACTAATATTGTTTTATGCTTCATTCATAGGAAGTTTGCTTGATTTCTTAAAAGATGGTGAAGGGAGAGCTCTGAAATTGCCAAATCTTGTCGACATGGCAGCACAGGTAGGCTGTGGGGTACCTTGATCAGGCGTGGCTGTATCGACACGGGCACATGACGGTTGTGGTGTGACAGCTGTGTCCTCCCCTCGGTTTCCCCAGGTGGCTGCAGGAATGGCTTACATCGAGCGGATGAATTACATCCACAGAGACCTGCGATCGGCGAACATTCTGGTGGGGAACGGACTCATTTGCAAGATTGCTGATTTCGGGTTGGCGCGGTTGATTGAAGACAATGAGTACACGGCGAGACAAGGTGGGAGACCCCGTGACAGGCTCCTGACTGCATCCTTGCTTTGCACAGCCTTCCTCCTCACTCGATTTCTCCCGGCTGCCCTTTCTTTTTTCTCTGAGCTGGCAAGAGTATGACAGTTCTCAGGTGGGGGATTGGTGGGCCCAATAGATGGGTGCAGTACTGGTTTGGTGAGCGGGTGTCTACTCGCACGGTCTGCCTGCCTTCTGGAAGTGTCAAGGTCCACAGTGCTCTGCTTTTGGAAAAAGAATGCTCTGGGAAACCAAGTTATAGCTCGTTCCCAATCAGTCATGTCCCAGCAGAAAGCAGGTGACACTCGAAGGGAAGACTTTAATAACAGTCTTTTACAAAGGAACAAGCAGGGATTCAGAACACTGAGCACAGTACAGTGCCTCAGAGCTAATATCAGGGCAGCCAAGTTTGGAAGGTAAGAGGAGTGGGTAGTGCCAGAGTGAAGGCCCCTCCTAGTAGAGAGCCCGCAGAGGCGCATGGAGGCTGATCCTGACCTCAGTCGGCAGCTGCCTTCCAGGGCCCCAACCAGGCCAGCCTCAGACTGAAGCCTTGATGAAGCCTCTTGAGTTCAGAGCAAAGAGTGAAGGGAAAGAGATGGTCTGGAGGAACTGGAGGGTGGCAGTTCCTTGAAAAGCCCTTCTTTCCTTCTTTCTTTCTCTTTTTCTTTCTCTCTCTCTCTCTCTCTCTCTCTCTCTCTCTCTCTTTCTTTTCTTTCTTTGCCTCCACTCAGTCCTTGCAAAACTTCACAGACAGTCTTTATGTAAAGCACATACCAAACCAGAAGCCAGCCCACTGGGGTGACTGTATGTGAGTTAGTAGAACTCCAGATGTCAGGAAGGAATTCCCGAGGGTGTTTTCTGCCTTCCTGGTTGTTGACATGTCCGGGTGTGGAACAGAGTGAGGAACTAGCAACTGTGGAGGCTTCTCTGCCTTTGAATGCCTGGAACTCAGCAGAGGGTGGGTTTCATTGGTAATATTAACCAAAGCCTGGCCACCTGAGCCAGGCTGAACAGTAACTGGAATATATTGCAGGATGGTGCTTTCTGCAATTTCGGAATGAATAATCGCCATTTCGCTCATTTCTAGAAGCTTCTTTTCCTAGTTCTCTCTCCTTTTTGCTTTTAATGCCAATTCTTCCCTTCTTTGATTTGACTCAGAAGTATGATGAATGATAAGGGAAAATGTCAGACTAGCTCCTGCCTGCTTACAGATACTGTCCAAATGCTCCATTTCATGTTGGGCAAACAGCTCAGCTATTTGAACGCCTCCAACATGTGGCATTGCTTGTCCTGGAGCCTGTGCCCACACAGTGAGCCTCCCCGAGGGATCACGTGGGGTAGGAGCATGTCCACCGACACACACCCAGAGTCGGGGAACACAAAAGGAGGCCGTGTCTCTCAGCAGAGAGGCATGCAGACATGACTTTGGTGACACGGTGTGCCACGAGGGTCTGGGGGAATGTGAGCAGAGCCCTGGCCCTGAGGGAGAGCAGGTGAAGGTTGATATCCGAATATTTGACTTAGCCAATGGCTCTAGTAGAACCTGGGAGCTTCATTCTGTGTGAGAGAGACCTCAGTGGCAGAGGGGGCGCTTCAAGACTGTTTTCTCACTTTTAACCAGACTTTGGACTCTGCAGAGTCTGTGGTTAACACCCTTGACCCATCCATATATGAGAAGGGGGCAGGGCCGGGAGCCAGCAGATGCTAACAGAGGTGCTGTTAGAAGGCCCTGGCTATATAAATCGTGCATCATTCATTGGGATACCTAAAACAGTGGCCTTAAGTGACTGGCACCTCTCATGTCAGCTTCTGCTCTGGAACCTGCCCAGGCCCCCCTCAGACTGGCCATGCAGCCTGCCTTCCTGCTTCCGGAACCACGAGGCCTGCCTTCCGGCCCCGCCTCCCCATCACACCCCAACCTCTGTCTGAGCCTTTCCAAGGACCAGCCTTCTTCATCCTTTGTTCAGCATTTCCTTGACTTTGGCTCCCAATCCTTCCCTCTTAGAACATTGTTTCTTCTTTCTCTCCTTCACCAACCCAAACATTGGGATGGGGTAAGTAAGAATGAGATGACTGGACTGTGGAAGGAGATACTGTCTTGAAGCAGAGAACAAGGAAAGGCCAGGGCATTTGTGGAGCCGGAACTGCCTGACATTCGAGAGGCAGGAAAGAGACTCAGAAAGTTAGCAGTCGTTGGTGCTGCTCTGGAAGTCACGAAGCTCGCAATGAAAGACCAGGATTTCAGAACAGTACAGGCATGCTCTCGAGCTGTGCCCGCTGTCTCTCATCGAGACAGTGAATCAGAGAGCAGAGTGTGAAAATGGAGAGAATTAGTCATAAGTCCCACTTCCCCTTTATTTTATGGAAAAAGCCTTCAGGGGCAACCTCTCAAACTCACATGTGTCAGGGGACTAGAGAGAGCTTCATTTTCCAGCCTTGGATAGCCCAGCTGTTCCTACAATTCCTGCACTGGGTCGGCCCCGCCCTGGCCTTTCCACTAGATAGAAAGTTCCGGCATGTATTTGCCAATGTATTCTGCAGATGGCATGTGTGCTGCATGCCGGCGTTCCTGCCGGGGATTAATCAGCTCCTCTAGACAGCTGGTCCGTGTGCCTAATAATATTTGCAAGTCGGGTTTTATGTCACCCGCAGGCCACAGCCGTGCCGCATCTTGATTGTGGGAGCGCAGGCAGTGTTCTGAAACATGTGCCAGATGCAGCTATTTTAGGACCGTGAATGACAATTGTTTGCAAAACAGTTGTGAGTTCCCCGTCTCAGGGTGCTCTGCAGTGTCTGTCACTGCACACAGACACACCAGGCAACAAGGTGTGACAGCGCAGGGCACGGGCACCACTGCCGCGTGGAGCTCTGCTCCAGGGCTTCCTGTGGTGTTGATCCTGTAAGCCCCACACTCACCCACCCCACACCCCGGCTTGTGAGCAGAAACCTGCTGGCAACGGGAGGTTCAAGACCAGCGCCTAGGATGGTAATCCTCCACTGACAGCAGTCTAGAAGCAACTAGAAACATTTGGGATTCCTCGTAATTACCTGGACATCTCACAATTAGACCCAGTTCCTGTTGAGTCATAAACTCGGCACTAAATTCTGTCCATCTGGAGTCTCTTAAAGAATCCATGGCAGGTATTTGAATGCCTTGTTTATAAAAGGAACGTGGCTAAAAGTTGTTATGAAGACACCCAGGCCAAAGCCAAGGCCTGTACCTGTGTAGCCTCACCTACTCCTGGGGCTGAGGAGGGAAGGTCTCTTCGGCCCAAGGATTTGAGACTGGCCTGGGCAAAATAGCAAGACTCCAACTTGAAGGAAGAAGGAAGTGAGAGGAGAAAGATGGAGGAAGCCTCAGGACTCGTAAGGGCTAGCGTGAGGAGGACCACGGGAACATCAGAGTCAGGCAGTGAAGCCCAGCAGTACCACCCACTGACTGGGGCCCTGGGCGAGCTGTCTTCTTCTTCCATGGACGATTGCTTGTCTTTAAATGAAGATGCATCTCACTGCTCCGTGTGTTCTCCCATCGTTGAACGCAGCCCCAGCTTGTGGGAACCAGTCACGGTCACCACTGTTCTTGTGTGGTCTAACACGGGACGAGGCTGCTGGAGATGGGTAGGGCAGCCCTGGGAAGACCAGTTACTGTGCAGGAGAAAGGAAGAGCAGCCAGAGACTGTCCCCGGAGGCAGTGTGGGCAGTGGTTAGGGTGGAGCAGGCAGTAGGGCAGTGAGAGAGCATCTAGATCTTACTTCTGAGAGGGAGGATGAGCCCGAGTTGGGCTTGGCTGCATGTGAAGTATCCATGCTGGTGCATCAACCCAGAGAGGCCTGCGGGATGGCCTCTCCTGAGCCACAGCCACAGCTAGGTGCTCCAGCTCTCCTCCTCCCCCTGACACCTCCACCTTCCCCTGGGCTCTGTTGACAGGCACCTCCCTATTCCTGTTCCCTTGATCCTTCCAGAAGTTACCACAGCCCCCACCTGGGCCCAGGGCAGTGAGACACACCTCTGTCTCCCCTGTCCCAGTCCCAGGGCCATCATTTTCTAACAGAGAAGGAGAATGGGTAGGAGAATTCTCCACAGACTCTGTCTTCCTTCCTGACCTCTCAAGCAGCTAAGGACTGACTAATGTTGACTTGAACCTAGCACACTCAGATCTGTGGACACAATTTTTGTTTTTCAATTTACATTCATCCAGTAAAATGAATGAATCTGGTATGTAGCTGAGAATATTTTTCTATGTGCAGGTAGTCCTGAAACCACCTCACAGAGGAAGACAGACCTGTGAAGACTAACTCATTCCACCCTCCCCCAGAGAGGGCTCTGTTTTCTCTGTCTATCCCTACAAATTCATTCTGCCTGGTAAGGGAAGTCCATGAGTGTAACTCCACAGATTCCTTTCCTCAGTAACCTACCACTTCTAGCAACAGCATCATCTAGCCATGACACACTGTTGGGTCTGCCTCTTATCCCATCCTTATGCCATGACACTCTTGCTTCCTGTGACAGTTCTTAGCTTCTCACAGCAGACTAGTACTCCACTGAGCACACACACAACTCAGCTGACCACCACCGTGCTGAGGAACAGTGGTACTAATCCCACCCGAGACCATTACAGATGAGGCTTCTGGGTGGGAAACACACACCCCATCTCCTGCACTGTTGGAAGGGCTGGTCATGGCAGGCCTAGATTGGCAATGCCAGTGACTGCCTCATGGAGTGGTGATGCAGTTACATCACTTACCTGGGTTAGAAGCCAGGACCCCTAGGTTAAACCACCTCTGTCACTGACAAGCAGGGTACCGTAACACGAATTTCTAAACAGTCTTACTAAATAAAAAACATGGAGCCAGATATTGGAGTGAACACTGAAAGATCAGAGAAACAGAACAAGCCACAGCCAACCTCTCCTCAGCTGATCCTGTTTCCTCAGACTGAAAACCTCTGAGTCCTCACCCGAATGGATCTTAGCTGAACTGCTGCTCAAAAGCC